ACAATTGGAGTATTCTTTAATTAAGAATTAAAATTCAATCAATAATTCGAGATTCTTCTAGTTAACTTCTAAATCATTTTAATTCTTAATTATTAAATTAGTGTTCGATTGAATTAAAAATTTAATCATTAAACCTGGTGGATGATCATGCCAAATACTTGTGTCCTCTAAAAGAAATTCGTAGAGATTATGATGAAGATTAAGTCGACAGCGAATGTACTCGTAACAGTCTTATGCATAAAATCAAAATTAAATTAAATTATAACTCTATCGTGGCTTTATGAATCGATAAGAATCATAATTAGCGACCAATTTGTGTACCAACTACAAAATTGGTAGTCGGACAAGTATTGCTTGGATTTTAATCGATCAGCTGACCGATTACAACTACCGCGAATTATAAATAAATTCTAAATTGGCAGCTAACGTTACATTACTTAAAATGTAGTTGACGGCCGGACAGTCAAAAGTTCTGTGAAGTACGCTTCAAGCTTACGAATATTTACCGTCATCCTCTCCGCGAGAGACGAATTATACTATAATACACTATCCGACTCTCGAACGCGCGCATATACTTTACATTGATAAAAAAATGTATATCAAAAGGAGAGGCAAAAGATCGCGGATTCGCATCGAAAACGCACATCGCATCCGGTAATTTCGCATAATAAAATCACAAGGTCCGGGAACAAGACAAGAAGGGCATAGTAAAAATATTCTCAACCGAACCAGAGGGAAGGACGAGCAAAATGCACAATAATTTAATTGCAATCGAGAGATTGTAGATACGTTAGGAACTCGATCAGTTTTTTACCTACGTCTTTTTGTGTTTTATATTTTTATATACATAAGAAAATTGAGGGTACGTTCCAGTTAGACTCAGAACGAGTTTGAGCTTAAGAAATGAATCGAGATCCTAGTGTATCGACCAAAAGCAAAAATTGCCAGTGGAATTCCAATATTCATTTTTCTCTCTCCCTCTGATACTTTCATTCCTCTGTTCCTCTTCCGTATCCCCCTGTCCGTTCCCCCTGTCTTTTCGAAGCCGACGTATCCGTTCGCGTCGTTCTCCCTTTCGCCGCGGACGTGGAACACACACGCACACAAAAAGAGAAGAGGGTCGAAAAAGCACAGGGTATGCGTGTGATTAGTCGAGTAACAGTATTAACCGGGGCCGGTCAGAAGGGGCGAGTTGGTGCTATGGGGGCGGGATGTGCGGAATGGCGCGTATTTTGTGAAAATCGACGAAACATGGCCAGCGGCACAAACAGGCATTGCAGGGCCAACATTTGAAGCGCGTCTGCCTGAGCTTTCCACGTGACGTGACCATTCCGCGCTGCTTGCAGTGTACACATACTTTTCCGTGGCCGTTTGCTTTGCTGAGGCTATGCGGCTGACCAGATACGTACGTAATCCCTCCTGAAGAAAACACATTGGCCAAACATCTTCGGTTAGTCAATTCTTAAGTATATGTGCACATGCAGGCAACCATTAGTAAAACAACAATAATTTTCGCTTTTGCTTTGCGTTTTGTTTTCGTTTTTTTTTTTTTTGTTTAACAGAGACCAATCCCAGCACCAACCAATCCCGTAGCCGTGAAAAAGCCAGCGTATAAAGAGTATTCAGCGAATACCAAGACCCACGAGAATACATTGCGTGTAGATTTGTTTTTGTCATACGAGTAGTTATGCATATATAATTAAGATGGAAACGTAGCATTGCCAGGTGTTAACCAACCGAATTCTCTCTCTCCCCTCTCCCTCTCTCTCTCTCTCTCTCGCTTGCCCTCTTTCTCTCTCGATTTTCCGTGTTCTTCATTCGTGTTTCCGTTTTCTCTTCCCGGTCCCTCGGTCTGAGTCCCTTTTTCTCCTCGTTTCCCGATACATACAATCTTTTCTTTCTCATTTAGAAAATCATTATTTCTCAAAACCTTCCTTTCTCCTCCCTATCGCCCTTCCCCTACATCCGTTCATTTCTTCTCCGTTCGCAACGCAGCACAGCGCAATCGTGTTGCGTTCTACAAAACCGAAAGCCATCGATGTTCTCCTCCCATTCTTTCATCATCGTAGCAAAAGTAACGTCCGTCCACTTTTTTTTTTTATCATACTTCGATTTCGGCTCCTTGTTAGTGTCGTTCTCGGAAATACTCTATTCGGACATGTATTATTCTTTGTACTCCAATCCATGTACCGTGTTCGTGAAACAACAGCGTTATTGGATCTGGCCGGTTTAGTGTTTCGACAGACGAAGCGATAACATTAACGTTAACAATCCTGTTGCTTCCGATTTTAAAGCGATTCTTGCGATTCTCTTCGATTCAGGACGTTACGCTCTTTGGCGGACGATCCGCACTCGGTTATAATGATTTACGGTCGCTTCACGCTGCGAGTTGTGAGATATTCAAGCGCGTAGCAGCGAGTAAAGGAGAGTAACTCCACGCGCACACACACAACACTCGTAATCGTAATTACAACATTACAGATTACAGACCTATTATCAATTCCTCTATCGTTTCGAATATCGGTTATATTCCACGCTTGATTTCATTTGAGTTCCACACGAGTTCTGTTTTTACTTTATGCTTCTTCGACAACACTCTCTTCAGCAGGAAAAAATGCTTTATATCAAATCCTGCTTGAATCCTTTAAATCCTAAATTGGTGCATATGAACTATTGTTCCTACAGGACAGTCGTACTGAATTCTAATAATTTATCAGTTACATTTATACGTTTCTAAATGATTAAAGAATACTATAAATATAACTGATGAGTCAACGTCACAAACAAGCGTAGCAAAGGCCACGATCTCATCATTAATTAAATATAATCTGTCTAATAAAGACACTCTACAATCTTTGATATTAATTCTATTATGAATTATTCAATTCTACAGTATTTATTCAATTCTCCAATAATCGATCGCACGAAATGAGTTAATATTTAGATTAATATTCCAATTAATAATATTGTAATGCGTTTGCTGAAATCTTTGTTAACGTAAACAAAATTATTTGATGTGATTCATATTTTCGAAAGTTCAAATGTGTTAAAAGAACAAAATTTCGTATGCACCAACGTAATAAATATGTATTCGCCGCAGGCAAAAGCAATTGTCTGTGCTCGATAGGTTCGCGTTCACTCAAAATTCATGCTTCGGGTTCGATGACTATCAAACGATAAACGTAAATGGAGTTCTGCTTACCTACCTGCCGAAAGGAAAAATTACCCTTCAAACAGACCAAAATGTATGTACTTCGGATCGGGTCACGTTTAGAAATTTCGTATCACATTGCGATTCTAAATTTCGACCTTTATTCGTATGGAGGAAATATAAAAAAACCGACGATGAAAGACCAATCGAACATTGAGCAGGGTAAAACGCCTCCGTTACAATCGGGTTCGAAGGGCTTATCGATTCGACGTGAGTATCGGCTTCCCACGCACCCATATTGATTTTTCGAGTTTACAGTACGTTAAACAAGAAAAGTAAAGAATAAGTGACTAGATACTCTGGATACGGAAGAAGGAGATCGTATACATGCCATTACCGTCAGTACCACCACCGCTGCTATATGAAATTAGTCGTCTCTCAGGATTACGAAATTCTCTTTCATAGAAAATAAATTGAATAAAAATTTGTTTGCAAGCCAATCTTAAATCCTGACGCGATTACGCGTGCAATTTAATTGCACGAGTAATCTAATTATTGGCTTTAGTACACTACCTTTTTATTTATGGTTTTGAACATTTTGTCTAAATAAGTGGCAGCGAAATTTAAGATTAACTTTGCATGCATTTGTCGAATTCGAAACTGTTGATCCACACACGTGCGTGCGTGTCCTGTAAAGTTCTACGGATACAGAGAAGTTACCTCGTACCAGCGTTGAGGAAGAAAAAACAGGTAGATATTTTAGTGTATACACAGAAATATATGCTTACAGTTAGTGCGCATTAAGGAACATAGTGGTGGCTTTGTACGAGTTATTAAAGGGGAATGTTGATGATTGTCGGCACACATACAGCACTTGGCAATGCTTGCTAGTATCTACAAGTTCAACCTACACCCGAAGAGTGCCTATGCCATACATTTATGTCCAAAAAACCATGCACATTGTATACTATAGTTAAAATGATTAATAGAAACAAACTAACATTCGTCTCGCAATAGAAAATGCATTTCTTTCAGATAATTTTAATTTATTATCAATTATATATATATATATTTCGACCAATGATTTAACGCCGATGTTAATTATAAATACACGATCGTCTTAGTTAAACGTTCAAATAAATAGACATTTATAAAATGAAACAGGTAACGTTTTAAGGTACGAAAAACCTAATACTCGACAAATAATACCTAATTGGTAAAGCGAACGAACAATTTTCTGAATTAAGATTGTAATGGACATTCTTACTGAAGACGCTATTCAATTTTTTTGTAAAAATAGTATGAGACTGTACACACTGAACGCGGAGTTTTTATACGATATATTTAGAAAAATTCTCGCATTTTTTTCGGATCAAGTAACGAAATTAATTCCCCTCCTCATTTGAATAATTTTCCAATCGAGTTCCAATAGTAGTTTCAAGTTAATGAAAGTTATGTATAAAGATATGCATAAGAATCGTTTTGTATCCATATTCGATGTCTATTATGTAATATAATTAATTCTATGAAAGAGAACACATTTCTTTCACACATAAATACACCATGCGTCGTCTACATACACGGAAATTTTTCAATTAATAATTGTAATCTGACCGATATGGATACAAAATTTGGAAATAATTTTGCAATGCCATTTCTCCCATTTGACAGACACAATTGATCCAGTTTATTACAATTTAAAAAACGTGTAAGGATACAAGAATATGATTGAGAAATTCCACGTTATATTTTCGATAATTACTAAACTTTATTTGCAAATATTGAAAGATATGGCAAGGCACGTATGTCATAGTAAGATAAGAATGATACTGATTAAAAGAGCACTTACCCTGTACTGCCTCTTGTGTTATCCTTTCTCCAGAAGTACCAGGTTTTGAAAGCAAGTGTCCTGATGAAACAAAAACGACGAATTATCCAATTTATCTTTCTAAACGTGGAAACAATCGTATTTCACTTAAATGAATATCTTACCAACGTCGGCGCCTTGATGTTTAAGGTCCATACTATCTGAAGTAGACTGATTACTTGAATAAAATGTTTGAGAGATGTCGAGCTTCTGGTCATCGGGCGTATTAGACGACGTGTCCTCTACACCAATTTTATTTAGCGAACTGTCTCCTAAACTTTGATCCTCGTAACTACAACTACTTCCGTCTTGTACTAAGTATTCAGGCATTTCCAACTTCAAATTCGGCATTAAGGGGATGATTTCAACAGGGTCGGATCCGGGAGTCGTTTGATTTTCCGTCGTTTTGTTATCGGAATCTTTCGCGGACAAGGCGTTGTTGCTCGCGGCCTTCTCCGCGCTCGTATTCGCGTTTTCCCTACATTTTCGTCTTTTGCTTGGTGGAGCGTCTGGTTGTAAATCGACGGCGTGGTAAGGCATAGGAGACGAGGGTGACTTATTCCTTTTGTTGTCCGTCGACGATTTACTAGAAGCATTTTGCAGCTGAATCTCCGGTTCGTTAGGTAATGTCTATTATGTAATATAATTAATTCTATGAAAGAGAACACATTTCTTTCACACATAAATACACCATGCGTCGTCTACATACACGGAAATTTTTCAATTAATAATTGTAATCTGACCGATATGGATACAAAATTTGGAAATAATTTTGCAATGCCATTTCTCCCATTTGACAGACACAATTGATCCAGTTTATTACAATTTAAAAAACGTGTAAGGATACAAGAATATGATTGAGAAATTCCACGTTATATTTTCGATAATTACTAAACTTTATTTGCAAATATTGAAAGATATGGCAAGGCACGTATGTCATAGTAAGATAAGAATGATACTGATTAAAAGAGCACTTACCCTGTACTGCCTCTTGTGTTATCCTTTCTCCAGAAGTACCAGGTTTTGAAAGCAAGTGTCCTGATGAAACAAAAACGACGAATTATCCAATTTATCTTTCTAAACGTGGAAACAATCGTATTTCACTTAAATGAATATCTTACCAACGTCGGCGCCTTGATGTTTAAGGTCCATACTATCTGAAGTAGACTGATTACTTGAATAAAATGTTTGAGAGATGTCGAGCTTCTGGTCATCGGGCGTATTAGACGACGTGTCCTCTACACCAATTTTATTTAGCGAACTGTCTCCTAAACTTTGATCCTCGTAACTACAACTACTTCCGTCTTGTACTAAGTATTCAGGCATTTCCAACTTCAAATTCGGCATTAAGGGGATGATTTCAACAGGGTCGGATCCGGGAGTCGTTTGATTTTCCGTCGTTTTGTTATCGGAATCTTTCGCGGACAAGGCGTTGTTGCTCGCGGCCTTCTCCGCGCTCGTATTCGCGTTTTCCCTACATTTTCGTCTTTTGCTTGGTGGAGCGTCTGGTTGTAAATCGACGGCGTGGTAAGGCATAGGAGACGAGGGTGACTTATTCCTTTTGTTGTCCGTCGACGATTTACTAGAAGCATTTTGCAGCTGAATCTCCGGTTCGTTAGGTAGTTCGATGTCATCCTATAATACAAATTAGAATAATTGAAATGTATTGTTCGATGAGGAAATTAGTTGATCGATCTTAGAATTTTAAGAAACGTACTTCAACTAAACTATCGTTATCCTTTCCTGTGCCATCGGTCAGACCTTGAACAGCCAATAGTTCAGCGGTCGTTAAAAAACTGGCTAATTGTTCCTGAACTACGTTCACTTCGCCCTGATACATGAAATCCACCAATGCAGCCAAATCATCGAATTTCACGTTACGAAATATTATAACAGGATGTTGACACGGGTTTTCCTTCAATAAAATAAATATCATTTATTTTCCACTTGTCTCATAGAAATAGTACTTATTTCTTATGGTTTCAACTCACTTTAAATAAATCCCTGAAGTACGTGCTACATGCGGACAAAAGCATTTTGTGTGCTCTTATTCGTTTTCCTTCGCAGCTTAAAGTAACATCGACGAGATCCTCTTCTGACCTTAACGTATCAAAAGCACATGTGATGTGTTTCAAGTAATTGTTCCACCTGAGAGAAAATTGTTGGCTCGAACCCATGCTGCTTTTCTGCAATTAAAGCAGTTCTATGAGAAATAGGGACTAATGACAACTGTGAAGGGATGTACACTAGTAAAAACAGTTTCCCGGCAGTTAAAAAATAGATCTTCATAAATATTTACGTATAATATTATTGAAAATAAAAATAATGACTTACCTTGTTTGCAATTAATTTGGCTCCAAAAAATAGTAACGTGAGCTCGAGGAATGTGCAGCCTTCGTTGCGTCGAATTGTCAGCGATCAGCATAAAACGAACGCCGAGATGATTGAGTTGCTTAAAAACGGTAGGTGTAGCGTCAACGCGTTAGTTACTGATGCGTATCGCGAAAAATAAAAACTGTAAACAGTAGAGCGGAGTAGAATTTCATGGCACTGTGGAAGGTTTTCACGGGTTCCGCATGTAGACGAAGAACTGGCGTCGATCAAACTAAACGATTCGGACGTTATGTAATTGCATCGCGGCGAACGATCCTGCACACGTTTAGACGAATTCCACGCAGATACGGTATCGTCACTTTAGGAGCTACACTTTTTGATTAAATGACAGCTGGTAGCCATTTTCCTCCAGGAAAACGCGTAAGATGCGCGGAAAAGAACAACTTCCTACAGAAACCACGCGCGATGCGTGGGCCGTCCCGACTTCGATACATGTGTAGAACGCCCTAAAGGCGTTGCCATTGGTGAATACCCGCTTGCGCCGGTATTCATGAATTCAACTGATCTCGATTTTTATTCGCCCAGTTTTATTAACGAGTTTCAATTAAAACAATTTAATTAAATCCGCAAAAATTATAGATTTCTTCCCTCATCCACTTCTCGGTTTAATCGCCGAAACAAATAAGTTCGATTTGTGAGTTCAGATCGTGACTCAAGTCACGACTGATATCGACCACATCGACGACTTGTCATTAAAGCAATTGTGATTATTTTGATGTAAATAAATATAAATATATGCTTTTTATAATTACATCATGTGCACCATGGATTTACCTTTGAATCAACAAAATTTGCCTCAGATACTCGATAAATTGTCGGAGGACGAGGTATTGTAATTTTATTTTTAAATCGAAGTAAAAAAACGACTCAACAATCAGTAGAAAAGTAATTGTTTAATTGCAGATTAAAATAGAGAAGAATTTGGAAAACATACTTTCAAGACAATGTCACGTCGAGGCAAAGCTGCAAAATATAAGCAAGGTACTGCCTAACGTTGCTGTGATAAGAACAGAGGGTGAGAAATTTTGTAACATGATTGCACGCACTAATGAATTAGCAGAAAATGTCAGTGCCAAAGTGAGGGAATTAGATTTGGCCAGAGTAAGTTGAATAGCAGATTCAAAGATCAATAATAACAATTTCCTATTTAATTGTTCGTACGTCTTTACAGAGCAGAGTTTATGAATGCCAAAGGCGTGTGAACGATATTCTTGACTTACAATTATGTAGCGAAGGTGTAGCTATGGCATTACGGAATGAGGATTACGAACAAGGTGCAGCGCACGTTCATCGTTACCTTTCCATGGATCAACAGTTATTAGAAAGGACAGCCGAAGATATTTTAATGGATCATACAAGCATCAGTAGTTCTCTGATAACTCTGCAGCAAGCTGCGTTACAGCTGAGAACCGTGGTCACGCATAAATTCGATGAGGCTGTAAAATCAGAGGATCTTGCATCTGTCGAGAGATTCTTTAAAATTTTCCCTCTGTTGGGGATGCACTCCGAAGGGCTTAAAAAATTTTGTAGCTACTTATGTACAAAGGTAATAAGATATCACTGACTTGTCTAGGTCACAAGGTTTTATATAACTGTGGAGTTTTCACATTAGTTGCAAGAAACTGCACAGAAGAATTTGAAAGCAGCTTTGGAAATGAAGAGCAATGATAAGAGAGCATCAGTTATTTTTGCCGACACTATGACTTTATTGTTTGAAGGCATCGCTCGTATCGTGGAGATACATCAGCCAATAATAGAGACATATTATGGACCTGGGAAACTGTTAATGACAATTTCTATCCTACAAAAGGAATGTGATAGGTAAATTACATACAAGAACATCGGATCAATTCTGTTATTAATTTCGTATATTTTAAATAGGCAAGTTAAGAAGATAATCACGGAATTTATGAAGCACAGAAATATATCGAAGAAAGTGCAAACTGTAAATGATTATTTGCGAAAATCGAATGCCGAAAGAGCCGATCCTAAGGAATTTGATTTATTATTGGGAGAAATCACTATAATGCATTCGCGAGCGGAGTTATATATTAGGTTCTTAAAGAGAAGAGTTAAAGTAAGTTAATACTTGCACAAAATTTTATTACAGAACTTCTAATTGAATGCAATATTTTCATTGCAGAATGACATAGAAATCAGTGTAACGAATGATAGGCAATACGAAGATTTAATAAGCGAATTCGAAAACATTGTTACTAGTTCAGATTTGGCGCATGGTATGCAAGAACTTTTAGGTGCTTATCTTGCATTGGAGAGATATTTCCTCGAAGAGAGCGTAAATAAAGCATTGGGAATGGACACCTTGGAACAGGATCAACCAACGTCCAGTATGATTGACGACGTCTTCTTCATAGTGCAGAAATGTATAAGGTAATCAGAAGATACCAGCTTTTATAAGTTAAATGAATCTTAAGTAATTTAGGTATATAAATTTTGTACAGGCGTTCGATGTCGAGTTGGAGCATAGACGGTGTTTGTGCAGTAGTTAATATGGCTTGTGGTATATTAGAAGGTGAATTCGCGAACAGATTACGAAATCGATTACGACAAGGATATCCTGCGGGATATTTAGATCTAGCCCAAGCTTACAGTGCTCTTCAAACAAGCCTGCAACATGGTCGCTTACAAACTTCAGATACGGAACTTGCTCGTTTAATGTTCTTGGTAAAATTCGCTATAATCCTAAAAGTGTTAATTGCTTTTATTTGTTGATTTACATGATATATTTTCTCTGTAGGCTTATTTAAATAATACCGACGTGAGTATCGAATATGTTGAGACGCTTTGTAAAAGTCTCGGTTCTGAGATCGATGCAACGTTTCCGAATATGCAAAGTAAAGATCGAGGCAAGGTCGACAGTTGTCTATCCGGATTGAAAGGTGTAATGTCCATTTTACGAGCTGTTACGGATTACGGTTTGGAACAGTTGCGGGTAAGCGCTGTCAAACCAAGAGTCACCCCTTGGGTCGATGCATTCCTATCAGTAGACCACCACGTGAACGAGGTAAACCAACTATTCGACGAACGAAGTAAAATAATCTACACAGTCGATTAACTGTTAACATTTGTAGGATGATCTATTAGGGTACGAGACGGAAGAACCTTTTGTGCAAACCTTGATTGTGAATTTAGAAGGTCTGCTACAAAGTTTCAAGGGAAGCTTAACAGCATCTAATTACGATGCTTTGATCGGTCTTCTTACTGATGAAGTTACAGCTCGCTTAGAAAAAGTTGTATTGAAGTCTACGTTTAATAGGGTAAGGGTAAATTTTAGATTATTTTGTATTCTTCTTTAATAACGATTATTTACGATTAATTCAGGCGGGTGGTCTAATACTTGATAAAGAGATCAGGTCATTGGCAAGTTACCTGGCCGCTGTTACTTCCTGGTCTGTACGCGATAAATTTGCAAGACTAACGCAAATAGCTACTATCCTAAGTGTCGAAAAGATTGAAGAACTAGCAGACTACTGTGGAGCAGATGCAATCGCCTGGAGATTAACGCCTGCTGAAGTTCGACGTATAGCTTCCTTAAGAATAGATTTTCGTCCAGAGGATATAAAAAGACTAAAATTGTAATGTAAATTTAATCTTTATTTATTATTAATATTGTATAGATAAGTATAATAGACAAGTAACGTCAAGATAAATATCGAATATTTTTATTTCTCTTTAATCCCTTACACTCATCTAACTTAAAACTAATATTTTAATTGTATAGCTAAAATCAAACGCAATTGATAATACTGATTAGAAAATTTATTAAACATAACAATTTAATAAATATTCATTATTTGTTAAATTTTCTTTAAATATTGCGTTTATAAAATTTTATATTATCACAGTTCAGTTTCATTATTAAATTACTTTAGTCTTTTCTCAAATTCTAAATTATGTAAAGCTTCTTCAGATTTTCTTCATAGTTGTTTAATATTACGTTTCTTCAAATTTCTGTTACTGAACATTTTTCAGTTAAAGAGATCTCATATTTTGCAAACATTGGCATGAATTTCTAAGGTATAAATGTTGAATTTTTGCTATAAGAAATTGTTAACAATATTTAATTCGTAAATAATTTTTTATGCTCACTGTGAAATTATTCTCATTAATTATTTATATAGATACCTCTTTATTTCTTTTGTGCAGTGTATTTTGATTTTTCTTCTTTATCTTCAGTGATGTCCTCTTCTTCATGGTCTTCATGGTCTTCAGCGTCTTCTTAAGTAGAGTGATGTCGTTTACTGTTCCGAGTCCCTCGATGTCCCACGATGTACAGGAAGCTCCAGGTCCACGTCCCGCGAAGTCCCACGATGTTCCAAAAAGTTCCAGGCCCTCGTCCTGCGATGTCCCACGATGTTCCAAAAATCTCCAAAGTCCACGTCCCGCGATGTCCCACGATGTCCCACGATGATCTACGAAGCTCCAGGTCCACGTCCCGCGATGTCCCGCGATGTCCCGCGATGTTTCAGGAAGTTCTAGATCTACGTCCTGCGATGTCCGAGAACCACAACCCGTGAAGTCCCGAGTCCCATTCAGCGAAGCCTTGAATCCATATTCCACGAAGTTCCAAGTCCAAGTAATACAGTAAAGTTCGAGATTCACGGACCATGATCGATCATAAAATTCCAAGTACGGCAAATTGATTCACGTTCAATGAAAAATCCTGTCATGACGGAGATTATCCAATCTCCAATTATTTCCTATGCGTTAAAGGATTCGACGTCCCAGGCAACTCCTGCGTCAATATGTCTTCTTTATCTTCAATGCTGTAGTCTTAATTTTCGATTATGTTTACGTAGAATGTCTTCTTATCTTCCATGAAATTCTCCTCTTCCGCGTCCCACGAAGTCCCACGATGAGAGTTGTTTCTGGATCCCACGAAGTCCCACGACGATAGTTCCCCAGGAGTCCCGCGATGATGGCCTCTTCATCCCACAAACCGTTCCAACACGTTGGTAGCATCTTCTTCGGGTTCAGATATTTGCAAGAGTCAGTGATCCTTTTCGAATCCCACGAAGTCCCACGAAGTCCCACGAAGACGACACCCTCTTCGGATCCCACGAAGTCCCACGACGATGGCCTCTTCAAATCCCACGAAGTCCCGCGACGATAGCCTCTTCTTCAAATCCCATGAAGTCCCGCGACGATGGCCTCTTCCTTTAACTCCCATGAAGTTCCACGACCTCTTCTTCAAAACGAATTTCCATGATAACAATTTTTTAAAATTCCGCAAGCTTCCATGATGGCAGTTTCTTTTTTAATTTCCAAGAAACTTTCTGATAGTAGCATGATTTTCTACGCTCGTAATTCTCCTATCTGCCAATAAAATTGGCATTAATTCTCATATTGGTGATTTTTTGTCAAGCATATAACTCTTTGATGTTTTCCTAATTGCGTAGATAATGCCCATTTTACAAGTTTAAGAAAGGTAGTACCTTTGCATATCTGAAGAGATTTGTAATGATCTGTTCAGTGTTTTGAATGCCTTATATAATCGTTTTTCTTATTTTTGTTTCAGATTGTATATGTACGTATTTATAGAGGACATCCACATAAATGCTTTTTAACAAAATATCACTTCATCATGTTAGCGATATCAAAACTAATGTTATCTTCATTCCTCTTCTGCTATAAAGAAAGATACTTAAAACTCCATATTCCTCCTTATAAAAACATTCATAATTTCTTAGACATTTGACTGGCATCATCAAAAAATATCTGGAATTAATATAATCTTCGTTACTAACTTGATTTCGTAACTTAAATATTAAAAAAACGAATATTTCTTCAAGTAAATCTTACTTTTTAAATAAAAAGAGGAAAACGTTTTTGCTGGAACTCTGCAACAATGACTCCGTCTTTTCATAGCTTCTGCTGAAAATCCCTTATTTAAGATCCGCAACGACGGCTGATGATCGCAATGACAATAACTTATTTATGATGACCGATATCGAGTCCTTCCTTTTCTCAAGTTGGAATTATCTTTTTTCCTCATTAGAAGACCAAGAGAATCATTCAGAATATCTTTCCTTACTCCAATATTCAAGAACCCGTGAAGACAGTGAACGAACCAACGGCATACCAAACTCCACAGAACAATAACCGTAAAATATACCCAAATATCTTAATTCACCTCCAACAATTTTCTTCATACGAATGAAATCTCTAATCGGTTTCTACAACATTCGGTTAACATTTCCAGAAAACGAAATGAAGGATGAGAACTCACGTCCATGAATATCACTTTGACATCATATTCATCATTTGTTCCTTGTTCGTAAATTCAATTAGTGTTACATGAACTTTTTCAATTTATCTATCCGTAGAGAAGGTTCATCAACGTAACGAGAGCAGATAACAATAAACTTCATTCTTGCCCTTTCCTTTCATTTCAATTAACGAATTTCTCTTCCTATTTTCTGGAATACACCTGGCCAGTACAAAATTAGTAGACTAACACCTTACCCTTTCTTCAATCTGATTGCACTACTTTGCTCGGAGTTATGCAAAATCTTGATAGCAAACTGCATAAGCACGAATGGTGACACAATCAACATATTTCGATCCGTAACAAAATCAGCTATTGAAGCATAATAGCAAGCACTTCAACATCGCCATAGAAAAGTACAAATCAATAACATCCATTTGCGCTAATCATACAAACTTGTTTTTTAGTTTGAAATAGCCAAAACCTGGTCGTTAATGACTCACCAATTATATTAGTATCAAAAATTGTTTTCTAATATGTGTCTGTACTATCTGTTACCTTTAAACTTCTTTCACAAACAGCTATCAGGAAGTATCAATATTGTTTACGACGACATTAAACACATTATTTCAATTACATTTCAACTACAATATAAAAACATAATAATAATATAATACAGAAATATATAAAATACNAATAAAAATAATAATACATGAGCAATACATACATGTTCAGATGTATTTCACGCCATGGTTTCCCAAAATTACGTGTGTGGCAGGGCTTATCATAAAATTCATACTTCGCAAACGTTAATTTCTTGGGACTTCCTGAAGCAAAAATCACAAAGATCTCCCGCGAGGATACCCAAACGACAACACATTGGATATTTGATAGCTGATCATCACACATATTCTAGTATTTAAGGCTATCATGCTCATTACCATGCTTCAATTGACTTCATAGAAAAATCACGTGAAACCTGTGTCCACCTTATAATCTCCCTGCCTTTGTATTCTTTTCTCATTCTGGTAGAAGAGTTGCGAACATCGTTAACACCTATATGTATGTTTCCTAATTTTCGTTAGATCACAAAAAAATACCAAGAAACAAATGCATCCTCAACAACACCATTTACACAAGTATGAAATGAATCGTCTTGCCGGTCTAAAATTCATCTTACTAAAGCGTATGGATTTAAAAATCAGATACGTATATATACTGTATATAGAGAATCTGCTCTGCTCTTCGTTCCACAGCAACGATCTGTTTCCGTCGTCAAATACGTATCTTCGACTAATTTCCTTCAGCAGCCATATGAAATGCAACATATCACATTGTGCCATGCTTATCCATTACTTATATTTAACGCTTACTGTAGGTGTAGAACCGTATTCGTTTACCGAATATTAGAACAAACAGCCTGAACAGCCTGCATCCTCCGTTATTAAAAAATGCCATCCAAACGCAATCCGTCCGTTAGGATGATAGAGCATCAGCATCATCCACCCTGTAGCTCACAACACAAAATGGCATACCCACTTCCCCGTCTTTCCCCATTATACTTAAACGTTTGTAACAAACCCTTCATGGAACATCTTCGTTTCAGTCTCCCTTTTTCTTTCTTTAATTATCCGACCTTTTCTTTCTTAATAAAAATACTCCCAGCAGCAACTACACTTATCGGACCGTACGATTCTTAAGCTGGTTAAACGCGTTCTCTAGCCAAATCTTGCTGAAACATAGTTATTCACGCCGCCCCCCTCTCTCCGTCCCGCTTCAGTCTCATTCTAATTAACATACCATGTGCCTTCGTAAACACGAATCTCCAAACGCGTTCCAGCAACGAGAACGACCGGCGTGCAGTTGTTTAGCGGTGCACCACGAATATACGAATCTTTCGGGTACTCCTGCAGTGCAAAACAGAGACACCCGAGCAGAACACATCGACAAAAGATATCCAGAGACAATAATTGTAATTATCGTGATACTCGATACCGCAATTTGACATCACGCACAGTAAAAAGCTGTTTTTTTAATTCCTCCAATTTTTTTCAAGTCGAACCTTCGGCTCGTTTGAATAAAATTGTGTGCAATAACGAACGATTCCCATCAGTACTTCCAAGAGATAATTTGACATTTTCGATAAGTACTCCTTGGAATTAAAAAATGTTACACATAATTTCGTGTCACAAGAATATCAACGATATTATTAACACATTATACTTAGAAATGATTTCTCAAACAGATTAGCTTATTTCTTCCGTGTGCCATTCCGCTCCCCTATTATCATTAAAAGCAATTTCTAATCTTAATTCTCGACTCGTATATGTATTCTCTGTAGTTCTTCCCGTCGTTTCAACTGTAATATAAACCCGTGAAATGTTCTTTACGTCCAAAACACCCCTTCTGAGCAACCGTTTCTTTATCGGGAAGATAGCCGTTAATCTAATGTTAATCACGAACGTCTTCTTTGCTCTAGCACCCAACGAATAAGCGAGGAATATCACATCTGTGAAAATAAGTATCTAAATAGCACATGACCGCCGACAAATCGTCTGTAGTATAAGAGATACTAGTAAAAAAACTTTATAGCGGTTTCCTATCCAACTTGAGCCTTCTCGTTATACATGTGCATGTCCACGTAGGAATTCGGTTGCGCTACTTGCAGCGTTCCGCCTTTTCCGGATCATCTAGACATACACGTTCAATTTGCTCCATACCTCAAGGGCTCTTTATCCTAATTCGAACAGGGCAATGTGTGTGTGTGTGCGAAGGCTGATTGGGTGGCCAGCTTAGTCGAATTTCGAAGTATGCATGAATAAGCCGGTTCGACCCACGGGTATAACTCGATGGTAGTACGAATTGGGGGAACCTTCCTGGGACCTGAGAAAACACATTTGCACAGGTAACGGAGAAAAGGGATTAAGCTCACCGAACCCGGGCTTGCTCGAGGTTTTTGGCTGCAGTTTTGTCGCAGGGAGCCTATTGTAAATCGCGTGCCAGGACGATTTCGGAACTAGTGTCGCTGCTCGAAGATGCTCGATATACGGAAGCAAGAACGTGAGGATGGTATATGTATGGACTTGATCGTCGGCCACGAAACCCTTCATGCGCGATTTTCTAGAAACAAACACTTTGCCCCCTTTCGTTCGTCCCATATCGATATCCTCTCACCACTCCTTTTTATTTTTCTCATATACAGACAGGCCAAATCGCGTCGCCGATGACGACCACCAGCCTGGACGCGCGTGTGTGTGCGGCTCTCTTGCGTGCGATACAATTTTGTTACTGTGTACGCTGGACTGAAAAGCATTTCTGGCATTAATACGGCGAATTAAAAAAAGATAATAGAAAAATTGCTTTTTATACAAGATTTATTATTCCTTTTTATTTCTTCCGCTGCTGTTCCGCTCTGTCACACATTTACAAAACTGTTTTCAATTAACAATAATCATGAGTAAAAATCCATACATAGAAACATACCAAATTGTTCTGCGTTAAATCTATAAATTAAAATTTACTGTTACAAGCTTTCTTTTTTAACTCTACGACATAAGTACACAATTTTTAACCGCCATACTTCTGAAAAAATAAACATATCGAATAAAACGCTCTATGAATACGACGTTTACAGACTCGACTGATAACTGATAGACTTTAGTTATTTGTTGAATGAAAAAGTTTGAAACAGAAATACATTGGTTCTGATACAGTTTACAAACCAAACCAATGAAAGGCGTAGAGACTAGAACATGGGATCCCCGATTCAGTTGGTACAAGCCCAGCATCGTCACTGCAAACAGCAACTCCCTCCGCCCGTCCCATTGCCATCTCAAACGGTGAGACTGCAAGTAAAAAACATCCAGATATACACCAGGATAGTGATGGATGACGTTTATCCCCGCGATTTAACGCGTGCCGCATAGAACGAGGTTCGAGTTTCCATTTAGCTGCAGTTATGTGACGTCAACGTTTTCAACGTTAACCGAGTTTTACTGCCTTCTTCGAATCTCTTTGTAAGTTGAATCCAGTGGCGCTCTCAGGCTTTTCAAGCCTGATCGCTTGATCAGTGTAGGTCTCTTCATCGCTGGAGTGGTACTTTCACTTCGCCCAACTGCGACATGAAGTTGTCCAAGCTGCTCAGTTCCGGACACAAGGGGCCTTGCCACAGATCCTTCTCTCGATGGGACGTCCAGTTTTTTACGTCCTCATCGCCGTACAACTCGACGAAATTCGAGTAGTTCGGGTTGTTCAGCAACTGTTTTTTCAACTGCTGCCATTTTGAGATCCTGGATAATTGCTTGCTGCGCAGCTCGTGTTCCGCCTTGGATAGAGCACAAGTCAGCACCGCCTCGACGCGCAGATTACGTTTCCGATTTCGGCGACACATCAGCTTTTTACAACGAACTCGGCTGATCCAATTCGCCAATTGCTCCGTATGACTCTGCTTACAGGCGTTGACCTCTCGAGATTTCTCTTTGGTCACCATTTTGTTCAACTCGCGGTGACGTCACTTTCACTCCCCCGACGCAGTCCGACACCTCGTCCTCTTCTTCGCGGCAACAGAATCTTCGAGAACTTTCTAATTTCGTCCGTTCTCAAGAAACTCGACCGGATACAAAGTTTTCTCAACAGCTCTTTTAAAACTGTTTCACCTAATTATTGAATAAGTAAGAGGTTACACCAACCTGTATCTGGCTCGTGTGTCTGGTAGAACTACGGAAGAACGTTACAACACGGCAGACTTGCGACACAAAGTACTTTGAATTCACCGAGCAAGATACAGCCTTCCCAATTTGACGATGACTCAGGAAGTGCTGACGCTGCGCGCCCTGCGGCCACCTTATATATCCCCACGCCTCAACTTATGTGGTAACCTTACGCGCGACTAATAGGAAGTAGTCCCCTCGAAAACTATGTACAACCGTTCTTTTAATAACGATTTTGTATAATAATTGTAGTCGCCTCAAATTCAAAAGTGTATCCAACAAATCCAATAGCAAATTCTATGTAAATTGCTCAGATCGTAGTGAAATTTCTCGTTTTCAGAAATAAATTCCGGCGTAGGAATGTGTCGCACGGCCATTATCCCACCATCCTCATGTGACGTCAGAGGTTCGTCTGTGCCCCCGAACCCCCAATTTCCAACGTTGCCAAGCATTTTCCTCCGTATTGCGATCAATGTTATTGTTCTTGATGATTCTATGATTTCACGAAGGATTTCCCAAATTCCTCAACGCTTGTATGTATATCTATCTTGTTACATTGATAGTTACGCTGATTCATTGCAAAGAAACGTTTAATTCGTCTCTACTGCAAAAATTTGTACGAATATCCACGCAGTAATATGATACAAAGCTTCCGCAACGTTGAAGAAACGTTGAGTATTATTATTTTCATATTATACAAGGAAATATTATAAAAACAGCTACACTGATACATTAAAAAAACAGAAGATTCATTTCTCACCCAAGAATTATTTGTACGAATATATCCTTGGACTAGCATGATACAAATACGTCTCCTCGACATTAAACACACGTCAGTTCTATACTTTTATATTGTAGAAGGAAATATACTCAGAATTCCTAATTTATAAAATAATTTTTTGGGAACTATTGCTGTACTAACAATAAGTAGCAGTGGGTTCGAAACCTTTCCTTAAAAATTGTTGTACAGATTACAAATGCATTTTATTACATATATATACATGTTTCAATTTTACTACGTTTCACAATGTTTTCGGATATATCGAATAATAGAGAACTACAGCATTACGAATACAGAGAAACGGTTATTGATTTTACAAGTATGCATTTGGTTCTGCCCATGCCCAAGTACAAGACGTGGCAACGTCGGCAACGTGTGCCCGAGGATAACTGTTGTTACACCCCAGGTATAAAAGGACGCTTTCTTTTTTGTCGTTTGCCTTGCGATAACAAAAGAATCTGTAAAAATATCCCAAGAGCTTGGGACCCTCGACTGCGTTTCTGACGTTTCTGACTACTTATTCCTACTGTATATAAGAC